ACATCTTTTCCTTCTTCATCTCTGAAATATTCAGCAACAGTTAAACCAGTTAAACCAACTCTAGCTCTAGCACCAGGTGGTTCATTCATTTATCCATAAATAAGTGCACATCTGGATCCACCACTTAAATTAATAACACCTGATGCAACCATTTCATGATAAAAATCATTTCCTTCTCTAGTTCTTTCACCAACTCCTGCAAATACTGAATAACCACCATGAGCTTTAGCAACATTATTAATTAATTCTTAAATAAGCACTGTTTTTCCTACTCCTGCACCACCAAATAATCCAATTTTACCACCTCTTGCATATGGTGCCAATAAATCTACTACTTTAATACCAGTAATTAAAATTTCAGCACCACTACCTTAATCTACAAAACTTGGAGCTTCTCTATGAATAGGATATCTAATTTTTGTTTCAATAGGACCTCTTTCATCAATTGGATCACCAATTACATTCATAATACGTCCTAATGTTTCTGGTCCAACTGGAATAGTAATAGGACCTCCTAAATCTGAAACTGGTTAACCACGAATCAATCCTTCTGTTGAATCCATAGCAATTGTTCTAACTCTACTATCACCCAAATGTTAAGCCACTTCCAATATTAATTTATGACTTGTCCCTTAAACTTACAATGCATTCAAGATTGGAGGAAGTGGTCCATCAAATTGTACATCAACAACTGCACCAATTACTTATGCTATTTATCCTGATGTTGTGCTTCCTGTTTTACCTGTCTCTGCTTGCTTCTTAGCAGCTGAGAATCCTATTATACACTTTAGCTTCAATATCTACCTAGACGCATCTATTTGGCTAATGCCCTTGTGAGCATTTTATTTATTTAAATAATTTTTAGATATTCTCATTCAGGATATTCAAAATTTAAATAACCATTTTATCAATTAATTATACGAGTACTTCATCATCTCTCCTCTCATAACTATCATTCAATCATCTATTCCCTTACTTCACTTCTCCTTTTTTTCTATAACTTTTCTACCATCCTCTT